TGATGTATTGTATTGATATATACTTGCTTTTAATTTTGGTATAGATATCATGGTGGCATCGACGGCCCAATCAGGACTTCTGTACTAGTTGTCTATTTATTTATATGATCTCCTAGGAGTAGCTGTTTCTTTTATAGATCAGTTGACAGGGGCCTTGCCGGCCGATGGCTTAGTTTTAAGCCGAGATATACTTGTTTGATTTCTTGATTGCGTGTGGCTGCCATGCGCTAGTAGCAAATGGTTCAGCAGGGTCGGCTCGGGCTTGAGTTTTGACATTAGGAGCCAGTTGTGTCCCTCGAGTTTGGGGCGTGACAATATTCTTGATCGAGAATGGGCCACAAACATCGATGAAATTCCGAATATGCTAATGGGGTTCCACATGAGCTAGCCCTCCATACAATCCCTTCATTTGTAAGAGCTGTAGAATTGTGCTAGTGACATGGAAGACAATATTCCACTCAACACGAGGTAGATGTATAGCACCAATACCACCCAATTGGATCGGGTCATTAACATCATTCAAATTCCTGATATCATCTTTGTTGCCGATTTTTCTACCATTGCTTCAGTTAATTCTCATTTCCTCTGTTAAAACACAAACACAACCAAAGAAAGTAAGTCGATTCAACTATAAATAAAAAATATCACAATTCAAACTTCAATAAATGAATTCTAAACAGCACCACTCCCCGTCAGCGGCCCTATTTTTTAGTAACGCTCAAATACACCTTATCCAATTTTAGGTGTAGACGATCATTATTTAGTATAAAACCCAACAAAGATTTGGGGTCAAACCCACAGGGAGTGGTACATGCTTGAATTCAATTATGAAGTTACATATATGATCTAGGTGGTTATAAGAATAAAATTTTATGAATTCGATTAAACAAGTGTAAGGGGTGACAATGAATGTCAGATGGGGGATTGGTTTTGCAATTAAAAATTAGAACAAATACGAAAATAGGGGAATCAACAAGATAAAGAGGAATTCTTGGGATGTGATCGATTAAAGACTAATTTCTCTATACATGTAATTGAAAGTTACTAACAATTGCTAAATTCTAGTAGGTAGGCTAGACTATAAGTGTAGTAACTTTCTCGCGTAGAGCTACTACGATTCAAGCGAGTTTTCTTGAACCTCGATAAGCTTATCAATCAAAACAGCCGAAAACCATAATTTATCCACTCTCTCGAGCTAGATAGGTAGAATCGAGTTAGGAGTTCAGTCACTCATATCAACCCAATAACTACAATCATTAATCAACAACCTTCGTTCTAAAATCTCTTTCTCAAGCAAGCCCAGAGCTCTTAATTTGAAATGCCTTTGCAACTACAATTCATAGATCAATCCAAAGCTATTGATTAAACCCACTTAAACTAAGCAATTAAATCAGTAAACAACAATACCCATCAGCTAATTAAGTCAATAAACACATGATCACACCCTAATAATTTGGGTTTTAACTGCACATCATAAAAAGAGAGATATCGTTACCAATTAGATTAGTTGGGTAACAATTTCCAAGTCACTACAATGCTTTGAATCCAAGTGAATCAAAAACCCACTTCAAAATCCTCAAATCTAAGTTCAAATTCTTACAATCATTACTAAAGAACTCAGAGAAAACCACAATTCTAAAATTTTGGAATCAAAACTCTTCTTCTTCTTTTTAAAACCCAATTTACAGTTGCCCATCTTTTGGCCTCCAAGGCCATTTGGCAAAGTAAGTCGTTCCTCGCCAACCCGGTTAGTTTTTCGCCATTCGCTCCCATCTATCGCCAATTTGTATTGGTCATAAGTCCTCAAGGTTCTGTGAATTTAGGCGATCCAAGTTTCTGTCGCGTAGTCGTTCGGCAATCCGCTGACTGCCCATTTCTATCGCCAAATTGGTTCTTCCCCAGCGCTGGCACTCTGGAACTTTGGGTGAGCTAAAGATCCACTCGACGGTTCGCCGAGTGGTCTTGGCGATCACCAGGATTGCCTTTCCACAAATTCTTTAGCTTGTTTTCTCCTTTTTGCCTGGTAGTGTCCTTGCCTTGCTCTTTAGCCTTCATAGCTACAAATCAATACTTTCACGTTATTTTATAGCAATAAATAGGCATTTGAGGACAGTTAAACTAACAAACCTTAGCCCTAAATGAATTGAAATATTGGATTCATCAATAACGCGACCGAAGGTTAATCTTAGAGAATTAACTAGCTCCATCAAGTTAGTCAACCAAATCTTATATCATTTGGAGATGATACTTATTCTTAATTGCCACCTTGTTCAATTGACGATAGTCGATACACATACAAATAGAACCAATTTCCTTTCTAACAAACAAAATTGGAGCACCCTACGGAGAGATACTTGGTCGGATGAAACCCTCATCCAACAAGTCTGTCAATTGTTGCTTCAATTCTTTAAGTTCTGTTGGAGCCATTCGGTAACGAGGAATTAAAATAGGTTGCATATCTAGGAGAAGGTCAATACCTATATTTCTCTTTCGAGAGGAATATCGGGTAAATCATCTCGAAACATTTTCAGAAACTCATTAACAACGAAGACTGACTCAAGACTAAGGGTTTCAGAATCTACATCCCTCACCCTAAAGAGATGGTATATACAACCTTTAGCAATCATCTTCTAGCTTTAAGACAAGAGAAAAACTGACCCTTAGGCATAGAATTTCCCCCTTTCAACTCTAGGATATGCTCATTTGGAAACTGAAACATGACAACACAGGTTCTACAATCAATAGAAGCATAACATGAGTGCAGCCAATTCATACCGAGGATAACATCAAAATCTAGCATATCCAGCTATACCAAGTAAACAACAGTAACTCTATGGGACAAGGAAACGGGATACTTTCTATAGACCATGTTAGCCACAATAGAATCACTAACAGAAGTAAAGACATAAAAAGGTTCTAACAACACATTTGGAAGAACAATAAACCTCACAGCCACATATGGCGTCACAAAAGACAAGGTGGCACCGGGATCAGGTAAAGCATAAACATCAAGTTGGAAGACATTAAACATACTGGTAACCACATTGGGAGAACCCTATTGCTCAACACAAGTCTGAAGTGCATAAAATATGTTTTGCTTGGGAGGATTTGGACCCGAACCACTTGGACCGGATGAACGATTAGGTTTAGACCTTCGGCGATTATCTCCCTCATTATTAGCAACTGAAGGACAATCTCTTATCTTGTGGTCCATTTTACCACAAACAAAACAAGCATTGGATCACACTAGACATTTACACTCATGCTTTCGTCCACACTTAACACAAGTAGGCAATAAGGACCCACTACCATTCCATCCTTGAGGCTTAGGGTTAGAAACCCTCTCTTTGTTGAACCTAGTAGGAGCATTGGAGGAACCTGGACCGGAAAACCTTTGTCAAATCTTGGACGACCATGCCCATCGGACCTTGCATGAGACAAATTACCATCACCAGTTTTAGCCCTCTTTGCCTCCCTAGACTTTTCGTTATGTTTCTCCAATTCAATATGTTGGGCATAAACCATGAGATAAGAAATGTCCATGTCATTAACAATCATTACGGTACGACACTCTTTGACCACCACTTTGGACACACCTGAAACAAACTTACTCATCCTTCCCCTAGGATCGTCAACTATTGCAGGGGCATATTTAGACAATTGTGTGAAATTCAAAAAATATTCATTAACACTCATACTTCCTTGATGAAGGTTGATGAACTCGAGCAATTTGGCCTCTCTGATTTCAAGGGGAAAGAACCTATCAAGAAAAGCGACTTTCAACTTTTCCCAATCAAGAGGACCTGCATCCCCTGGTCTCCCTTCTTTCCATTGGTTGAACTAAATTTGAGCAACACCTTTAAGTTGATAAGAGGACAACCCCGCTTTTTCTACTGGCGCCCCTCCTATGATCATCATCACCTTATAAACCGCATCAATGAAATCTTAAGGACCTTCTTCAACCTTAGAACCATGAAACTCAAGAGGATTCATCATAGTGAAGTCCCTTATTGTAGATGCCGACGTACCCATATTTGGGTTCACGGGAACCGCAATCTCCCTATTGGCTTTGGCCATTACGACATGAGTAAATACTTGTAAAGCAGCCCTGAACTCCGCGTTAGTCACTTATTCAGCTAAAGGGTCAACCGAAACTTGAGGAGCTTGGTGATGAGCTTCTTGTTCCGCATTCTCCCTACATAAGCTATTCAAGTAGAAATATCATGTAGAGCATTAGATAAGGGTTAGGAGAGAAACCTTATAAATTTAAACTCTACTGTACGACTTTATAGTAATGACACAAGTGGAGTTTTCTAAACATCTTGTAGTCTCTCATTCATAAATGTGGCGCCTTCACACTCATTAACAAGACACTACTCAACGTGGCTTATGAGACATCGTAGGACCATTCTAATCCTTGTGCTCTGATTACCAAGTTTGTCACGACCCAAGGGTATACTATAGATGTAACATGGCGTATAAGACTCCGAGAGGCCCCATACAAGCCACTTAGCTTTCATAACATAAGACATAGAATAAAAGAGCTAAATTGAATACTTTTCAAGTCCCAAAAAGTCTTTTATAAAAGTTAAGCGAAAGTCGAACCACTTTGTCTCAATAGCCATCTTGTATAACAGAATAAAATTGGGCCTAGCCCATACATCATGATCAAAACTGGAAATAAAAAAGTAGACTGAAACAATGAAAAATTTGTCCTTGAAGCATAAGGACACACCAAAGCTCGAAATCTCT